TGTATAAAAAATGCATTCCCTTTGCTTTCTGGTAAGACAGCAGACTGCAAATCCCAGGGTCCCTTCCAGTTTTGTGTGCCAACCCTAACTAGTTCACAAAGAAGGACTATGAACAGAAGTAATACATTTCAACTCCAGGCTGGGCCCATAAAGACCTTATGTGTTCAACCATTTTTTCCTTCACTGCCCTACAGTCCTTATATTCATGTCTGGAACAATGTGAGAAATTCTATATTAAGACTTTGGTGCTTTTTGTAGTATGGATCCTGGAATGATTCTGTGAAGCAGACCTCCGCAATCAGCACACCGAAGAGGAATACTTCCATTCAGTTCTTACATGCTTTTTTATATGTTTTCTTATCCTATTATGTTGTTAAATATGGAGATTGGTAACGCCATTGGCATTACCTAAAACAATACATCCCAACATTGATTAATAAAACCGAAAATTTTCCCTAACTTAGGTGAATCAGAGACATGGAGGTATCCAGAGTAGTAATGCAAAGTGAACGAATCAGTCCTGTGCTGCTGTTTTCCATGAAGCACCCCCATTCCATTTTGGGGCCATGGACGTCTTGTTGCTACTGGCTATGGAAGCATTGCCTAAGAGACAGAGATAAGAGCAGTAAGAATCTGAGAAGGGGCACAGTGAATAACTTCAGTGTTGCAAAGCTTTTACTGACTACAAATAAGTTTCAGTAGCCTAAACAGAAAGCCAGAATCACAAATAACTATAACCATAGCATAAAACTGAAAAAAAAATGAAGCCTACCATCTCCAGAAGAGGGCAGAAATAAAGAAGCTTGCTTGCATGAGTATAACAGTTGAAGAACAATGATAAATTACTTTAGAGTGCATAACCACGAACCAGCCTTCAGGGAACAAATCAGCTAGGGCTCCAGTCCACGAGTCCAGGGTCACTTCTTGGGTACGTCACACATTTCAACTTCAGCATCCTCAAGACTTGTTCTCTCACAGCCTCAAGGTGGCTTTCCCAATTTCATAAATCACTGCATTATACAAGAGAGAAAAAGGCATTTTGTGTGTGTGTATAAGTTATTAAACTGTGATCCAGGAAAATACCATCGTCTGTATGGAAACTTACTAGCAATGCCTCTAACATGTTGAGAGTTATTCTACATAAATTTGGGAGGAAAATCATTTCATAATAGCTGTCTAAGGCCCAATGTTACCTTCCTGCAAGCTGACTATGGCATTTGGAAACACAACTCCATTGGGCTCCAGACACAAGTTGAGGCCTCAATGGTTCCTTAATACTGCGACGCTCAAGGACAACATTACATCACTTGAAGATATCCTGGTTCTTTAAGAATGAGTAGTAATAAAAATGAGAAAGCTTTCACCTGGGGTGGGACAGCTTCTTCAGTATCCTACTATCCTGTCCCACCTACTATTGTAAGAATGCTCTCCTCACTGCCCTTATCAACATAAGACCCTCATCAATATAGGATCCCCACTGCCCCCTAAACCACCTGATACTCCTTTTAATTATTGTGTATACCCAATAAATAATAGCTAGCTTGGAGTGTCTTTGTCTTTGGTCACTCTGAGGGACTTTGGAATTACACAAGTCTCCATTATCTTTCTTTTTTCAGCCTCCTTTCTAGGCAGTCAGTGGATTGATGCCCTCCCATGCTCCACCTTTCAAATTTTCTGATTTAGTGTGTCTGTTGTTTCAGAGTGCAATATGAAGATTTAGAACCACCCGAAGAAAGGGGCTTCTTCTGTATAAAAGTGACCAGAAAATTCCTTGCATTCAAAACTATAAAATTCATCCAGGAAGAAGAGGTTTTAAAACAATTTGACAATTACAAATGAAAGTTACTGAATTTTCAGGCTTCTTGTATCTTCTGCAACATATGGCCAGGAAGTCAAGAAACTAAACCTGAAGCAAAAGTTCATGGTAAGGCAAGCACCATTCTAAACCCATGCTTCATTTTAATTTCTGTAAGCCTCAATAAAAACACTATTACTGACTTATTACCTCCAAATGATATAGGGGAAATAATATAATTCCCAATCTGCTAGATGTACGATACATCAAGTCTGAATTCACAAAATCAAAGAATGAACCTGAGGAACAGTGGAGGTTCAGAGTTGGAAAATTTTATTGAGAGACAGCTCCTGAGAGAGACAGGAGGGTACATAGAAAATGGGTTTTCCTACTTTACAGAGCAAAATCATGAAGTGGGTATCAAAAATCATGAGGTGAGTACAGTGTGGGACAAATCTGTGATCAACCAATGAAATTACAAGTATAGCCACTGAAAAAACTGGTTTTCAACCTACCATAGATTAAAACTAGACTCTTATCTTTCACCATGCACTAAACTAAAATCCAACTGGGTTAAAGATCTAAATATTAAAAATGAAACACTAAACTTGCTGGAAGCTAAGTTAGGCAGAATTCTTGAAGACATTAGCATAGGAAAAGACTTTATGAACCAATCCTCAGTAGCAAGGGAACTAGCAGAAAGAATCAACAACTGGGATCTCATCTTATTTAAAAGCTTCTGCACTGCAAAAGAAACTCAACAGAACGAAAAGAAACCTACAATGTAGGAAAAAATATTTACCAGCTACTCCTCAGACAAAGGACTATTATCTAGGATATATAAAGAACTCAACACAATCAGGCCCCCAAATATAAGGATCTGATTTAAAAATGAGCATCTGAAATGAACAGACATTTCTCCAACAAAGAAGTAAAAGCATCAAGTAAATATATGAAAAAATGTACCACATTTGAGAGATGCAGATAAAAACAACATTGAGATTCCACCTCACCCCACAAAGAATGGCTGCTGTCAAGAAATCAAACAATAACAAATGTTGGCAGGGTTGTGGGGAGAAAGGAACCCTTCTCCATTGTTGGTGGGAGTGCAGACTGGTGCAATCACTATGGAAATCAATATGGAGATACCTCAAAGATCTGGGATTAGAGGTTCCATTTGATCCAGCCATCCCTCTGCTGGGTATCTTTCCAAAAGAATTAAAAGAATCATATCACAGTGATATATGTGCACCTATGTTTATAGCAGCACAGTTTGTATTAGCTAAAACTTGGAAACAGCCCATTTGCCTATCAGTTGGAAACTGGATGAAGAAGATGTGGGTTTTTTTTTTCTATAAAATGGAATACTACTCAACCATAAAGAATGAGAAATTAGCTTCATTCATAGGGAAATGGATTCATATTGAGGATATACTCCTGTGAAATAAATAAGTCACACATGTGTAAATACCAAATACATAAGATCCTAATGACATAATTAACAAGGTGAAATAGGAAGAAAAGAGCTAAATGTGTAGGGGATGTGGAAATGGTAGGGGAAAGGTATAAGGCAAAAAAAATGAGAAAATGAAAAAATGGAAATAAAATATTTATAATAGGGAAGGGAGAAGGGAGGTGAAGGAAAGGCAGGGATAAGGGGAAAAAATGAAAACCAAGACCTGTCATGTAGAGGTACAAGAACCCAATGATGAATGTAACTGTACTGTATCCCTAAAATGTACCAATAAACTCAATGAGAAAAAACAAAAAAACCAAGTATAGCCCCTGAAGTAATAATATTGATCCAATGGGGAAGAAAGTCATGTAGCAAGTGCACATGGAAAAAACAAGGACCTCTTATGGAAGAGATGAGTCAGAAGACCCTGGTCACCCACCTGGGTGACTGATCCCTATCTAGACTCTATTAGACCAGGTGATCCATGCAGGCCCAGTCGTTCAATCTTTATCTGAGGCTTGGTCTTCAACAAATGCATCTCCAGTTGTAATGCACTCTTATGTTCTACACCAACTCTTTCCAGCGTCTAGCCCTGCCCCGACCAGCGGGGTTCGTTATTAGTAGGGCTCGAGGAGGGGAGCACCCAGAACGGGCACAGGAAAGACGCAGGAAGACAAGAACCAGGCAGAGCTCTTTTTGGGTCAAAATTTTTTGACCCCCTTTATTTCTCATACAGCAGCTTAAAAGCAGGCAGGGATGAGCAGGGACTTTCCCGGTTGCTAAACTGGTCTAGCTAGATAAGGTCATGGCCAGAATGTCTCCAGGAGGGGTTAGAATGTCCCCGGGAAGGTGTAAAGTTCCTATCAGGGGCACACACACACACAAGGTGGAGGGGCACACACGGAGGGTGGAGACGCACATAGGTCTTGGTGTCCAACATAGCCCTATCTGACTGCCTATAATATTTCTACCTATCTTAGATGTCTATAATATTACCATCCTCATTTACAGATATTAAGAAAGACATACAGAAATTTTCAGGTAAGTTTCACAAGGTCACAGAGTTGTAAGAATGGTAAGGCAAGTTGAAGACAAAGAATTCAAAACTAGCTGGCGTTATTTCAATCTCCATTTCCTTGCTTTCCGATTCCCTTTTACCTCTGTCCCCAACCCCTCACATTTCTAAGTAATCTTCAGATATCTGTACCTTGGTAGGCAGGACTGTTAAAGGTTCTTGTGTATCTTGAGCATACACTCTATAGTAAGTATTAAGTAGCTACTGTAAGACCTGACTGAGCTAAAGTGATTCCATATTGGATGAGTAATGGCCCCAGAGGCCTTTGTGTACCACGACACTTTGTAGTCGCACCCCTACCTTTGCTTGGGAATGTAAGACTGCATAACTTTGTGTAATCTTCACCGCTTAACTTGGTGATCTTAAATTCCTAGCCCCAACTGTGAATAATGTGAGTTAATGGGCAAATGCTTAAGAGTTCCGGGAAATGAGATAAGATCTGTGCTGTATACAGAGACCCAAAGTTAATTGTTTTACTGCTTGCTTGTCCGAAATGCCTTAGAGAGCCCTATAAACATCTTTTAATCATCAGAGTGTGATTGCTGAGTTCGTGACTGCTGACCACCAGCAGACCAATAGCCTTTGTCCCCTGCCTCCAGGCTTTGAATGTTAAACCCCCCTTATCCCTCTTATAAAAAGGACCTCAGCCCATGAGCTAGCGCCTCTCTGAGCTACTCGGCTCTGGGAGTGCCATCTGGACAGACTAATAGAGGTCTGTTTCCTTTCCAACATGTCCGGCGTGTTCCTTCCTGGGTGAATCTCGTGGCTGTGGAGCTCTTCGAAGCGGTAATTTTGAGCTCTTCGGAGCGGTAGTAAGGCCTTAGGTCTTACACTACGTTTATTGAAGGCCACTGGGAAGTAGCAGCTGTAACAGGGGAAAGAAAAAAAAGGGGACCAGTTTAACTCAGGCTTTTAGAATTCAAAGGCCAGACACCTCTGACTTTTTGGTGCATCCTACTGAATTTCTAAAAGGCACCAGTGCTCGGTCGCCCAGGGCATAGTAATTTCTTAGGCTTTTGTTATTTTATATTGTTCCCCTTTTAAGAAAATGGAATCATGGGTAACCATTAAGGTGGTGTTTACAGTTGAATGCAGGGAAAGGAGCGACTCATTCAGATCCTGTTTCTAACAGTACTAGAAGAATGAGTAGAAAAACAGGAAATCAAGTTATCACTTCCTTTCAGCACTAGTTTCATTTGCAATAAAAAATTCAAAGTGACTTTAATAAATATCTACTGAATGCCTTTATGACATTCTAAATAAATGTGTTGCATTAGACTTCTGAAATACATTTAAAACACCATATGATGGAAAGAGCAAAAGAGTAAGAAATATAAAGCACTAAAAAACAATCATGACCTGTAGTTAATTGTAACCTAAATCACATGAATCAAGGCCAGAGTTAAGCAAGTTCCCTTAAAGGGACACTCCCTAGTGTATAACTTCCCAGGTCCAGGTGGAGACGCGCGCCTCAATCCTTCTCTAACCACAGGACAAACGTTTCCCTGCCTCTCAAGGAGCAGGAAGCCAGGCAGGGCAGCAGCTCCTCCCGGCGTCGGAGCCGTGGTCCCATCTCTAGCTTGGTCACGGGTGAACGGCCCGTGAACGGCCCCTGCGCGGGGGCAGGGAAGGAAGTTTTGTTGCACCCGGCCGGTGTTCGGCGCCAGCCCCTCAGAGGAGCAGCTACCGCCCGCCAGCGGATTCCTGCCCAAGAACCGCGACAGCAGCAGGTGAGCAAGCTGGGTTCTCTTCTGACCCGCTGCAACCCCAAAGCCCAGGACGACTTGCCTGGGTCTCAGGAGGGGCCTGTGCCCTAGGCCTACAGATTTCCTTTGCTCTGGGGAAGGAGAGTGTATGGTGGAGGTTGGAGACAGGGCTCCAAGAACCCTAGGGAAGTGGCGGGGGAGGGTGCAAGGGCTCGGGACAGCGTCTTAGCCCTCCCGGCCAAACTCCTCTCCTGGCCCGCCGCTGAGAGACCCCAGGGCTCTGCTCAGCCACCCCCAACCGTTCTAAAGACTGGGCGTGCAGCCCGAAAGACCCCCGGGGGCGTTGCTTAGCTACACTGCTCCACAGCTGGCAGGGCAGCCCAGCCTGGCCAGAAGCTGGGCTTCCTGATGGGGTAACCGCGTAGTGGGATATGAGAAGGAATAATTAATAAACTGCTTTTGTTGAATACTAAGTATTGATTGGAATTGTCGGTGTAACCCAAACTGTGCTCGGGACTGCAGAATACTAGAGTTATGGGAAAGGCCGAGGGGGGAAGTGGCGCAGTGACTGAGACCCCCAGAGTCTGGCTGCTAAGTTTGAATCCTGCTCCGCTGCTTGGCAACATTGGACGCCGACCTAGAGGCATCAAAGTTTGCCTCAGTTGCTTCGTCTATTAATTAAACTGTGTAGCTATTACAGGAATTATGAGTTAAGGCAGAGTATTGCGTGCATTAATGTAATTGGTTACACAGCAGAAAGTAGTAGATAAAAGTTAGCTTTAGGCTCTTGGTCCTGGAGCGGCTCAGCTGCAGTGAGGCGGGAGGTGATCTTCAGAGCCGGCGCTGACGGTGTCATGCACTGTCTCTGCTCGGGGTCCCCTGGCCGGGTTAGCCCAGTGTTGTGGGTACCGCTGGGGGTGTGGGAATCCGTGGGGCTGCCCGGGAGAGTGGCCGCAGCTGTTGCCTTGTGTTTGGTGAGGCGTTTTCTTTTATCCTGTTCTGGGGAGCACAGCCCTGTTTCAAGACCCCGCAGGTGTGATTGTGCCCTTCCTCTACAGTTTTGAAAGTCTTGGCGGCACACCCCTTTGCTTGAGAAGCTCCAGCGCTGAGATTTTTCTTTCAGTTTCTAAGTCCCCTCAAACTGAGGGTGTACCTTCTTCTTTGGCTCCCTCCAAACTGGGAGCGCACACATTCTTTCAAACCCCCAATCCGAATACTTCCTTTCCAATTTAGGGGTTCTCTCTTTAACAGGTCTCTCCGATCTGAGGTCCACTAACCGAAGTTTGTGGGTACTTTCTTATATCCCCTCAACGCCAAGGAAGAATGTCCTTCCCAGGCTCCAAATCTGGGGACGCTTCCAGAATTTCATAAATCTGAAGGCACTTTCTTTTTTCAGCTGCTAAAAATGAAGTCCAAATATTGACATTTGTGAGCACACACTTGCTTTTCATAAGTGAAGGAAGTCATTATTGCCCTTTTTCCTTTTCTTGCTTTGCTTTGTTTTGTTTTGAGGCTACCCTCCAACTCCTGATCCTCGGGTCTCAACCTCCGTCCAAAGCCTGGGTTTACAGGAATAGGCCACCCTATATAATACTGACTCAGTGTTTTTTTCCAGTTATTCCATCCTTTTCAGTTGCACCTTTTCATGAATTCCCCAAATTTACCTTATGCATCTTGGGGGAAGATTCACTTTCCTACCTGAGATTGTATTTACTTTCAGCTCCCTTTACTAAATGCACCCTTTTTAGTATGAAATGCATAACTCTGGGAGTGCACACACCCAGCTTCCTAGTGCTTCTTGAATTTGTGGGCAGATCTTCTCCTGAGTCCTCTTGTTCCCAGGTAGTGGGTGAGTGGTTTACTGTTCTTTGGTTTCACATTCCTACGCTGCTCGGCTTTTCTGCCATCCAAGACGTTTTCACTCTTTAGTTTTACTCCCCTCTTAACACCATTCCCCTTCAGCTTGCTCTCCTAGTTCTCTTTACCCCTTTCCTTTTCTTTCCTATAATGAGTGCTTGTTTGTCTTCAGCACAGCACCATCCCTCTGCTTTTTTTCCTAGCCCACTTCTGTAGTTACACATCCTGAATACCCACCCCTGGAATTCCTCTCCTAAAGGGGTGCCTGCACAACCTTTCATATGTTCACGTTATCTTCTGCAAACAAGAACTGTTTCTCTTTTTTAAGAGCAAAACCTTCAGTGGTACATTTTAGGCATATATATAATGCCGACTTTCATGTTAAAGGACCTGCACCTGTACCTGGTACACCCCACCCCTTCTTTCCCATCTCCCCCTCCCCGCAGTCCCTTCCCTTCCCTAGGTACAAAAGTTTTGTTTCCATTTTTCCTTCTACTTTCACTTTTTTTCTTGTTCCTTCCTTTCTTTCTCCCACCTTCCTCCCTTGTTCCCCTTCCCATTTGAACATATCTATTATACATTTTAGTCCTTATTTCCACTTTTGGTTTCTCACACCAGAGAAACAATGTGGTATTTATTTATTTTTGTTGTTTGTTTGTTTTGTTTTTGGCACCAGGAATTGAACTCAGGACCTTGCACTTACAAGGCACTGAGCTACCTCCCCATCCCTGGCCCAGTGTGGTATGTAAATATGTGTGTGTGATTTATTTTGCTTAAGAGTAAGGTCTCAAGGTCATCCATTTAGGTATAAATGTCTGAAGCTCATCCTTTAAAGCAGAGTAGTACTCCATTACATTAAAAAAGCCACATCTTTATACATTCATCAATTGAGCATTTAGGTTATTTCCAAGATTTAGCTGTTTCAAACTGTGCTGCTATAAACATGGGTGTGCATATATCTCTGTGGTAGATACTTTTAATTCTTTCAGGAAGATGCCAAGAAGGCAATAGCTGGGTCAAATGGAACCTCCAGTTTTAGTTTGTTGAGGAATCTTCTCACTGATTTCCACAGTGGCTGTACCAGTCTACACTCCCACCAGCAGGGGAGAAGGGTTCCTTTTTCCCCACAGCCCCTCCAGCATTTGTTATTGGTTGATTTCTTGATGGCAGCCATTCTTTCTGGAGTGAGATAGAATCTCAACATTATTTTAATTTGCATTTCATGAATGACCAGAGATGTTGCACATTTTTTTCATATATTTGCTTTTTCTACTTCTTCATCTGAGAAGTATCTTTTCATTTCAGATGATGAATTTTGGATTTAAATTTGGAGGGCCTGATTATTTTTGAGTTCTATATATATTCTAAATAATAGTCCTTTGATGACTATCTGGTAAAAAATATTTTCCCATGCTGTGGGTTGTTTCTTCATTATATTGGTGGTTTCTCTTGTACAAAAGTTTCTCAATAAAATGAGGAAGAGCTTGAGGGCTGGGGATTAGCTCAGTGGCACTGTGCCTGCCTCGAAAGCACAAGGTCCTGAGTTAGATCCCTGGTACCAGGAAAAAAAAAAGATAAGGAAGAACTGTCTCTCTTGGCTTGTCCCATACCAAGATATTTTTCTGCTTTCTCACTCTCTTTGAACAGTATTCTGCCCTTGCATTGGTCTGGAGATTCTTTGTTCTCTTCTTGCTGTTTGAAGTTGGTCTCTAGGACTGGAAAGTTATGCCCCTGGGTGTCTTGTCACAGGATTCCATCTTCCTGGTGGCTTACTTCCTGTGAAAGGCTGGCTAGGTGGGCTTGTTTTCTCCCTATGTGGGGAAAAAAAAGCCCTCAAGATTATACTCCCTCAAGAGTACTATACTGCTTCTAGCCCACCGTAAGCTTCTTCCTCTACAGGTTTTCTTACTTATATTGAGAGAAAATGTTATTTGTGTTGGAAATGTAACTCGGTGGTAGAGTGCTTGCCTAACCTGTAAACAGCCCTGGGTTCATCTTCAGCACTGAAAAAAAAATCCATTTGAGGAATCCATGGACATTCATTTTTTAAACTAGTCTTGTATTAGTATATGTTCTTGATACACATATACTAAGTACATTAATTTGGGTAATTGGTACATATATGTTAATCTTGTTTCCTTTTCCGCTCTGCCCTCCTGGCCCTTGGGCACTCTGTTTTTGTCCCTGGGTTAAAGATGAGGGTAGGTATTTATATTTCTCCATCATATTCTGACATTATCTTCTAATCTTTGACCCCAAATTCCACTTTAAATATCTACACATATCTGTTACAGTCTTGTCTCTTATGAGGTTTTACCTTTTGTATTTCTCCCTCTCAGGGCCTCTCAGCCCAAACCCTCAATCAAATTAATTTCTCCACATAAAATGAAAAAAATGGAAACAAAGTCTTTGTAAATAGATAAGGGTGTAGGGGGTGAAGGGAGGATAGAGATACGGGGAAAAAATAAGAACCAGTATACATCATGTAAAGTTACAAGATCCCAATGATGAATGTCATTGTACTATATACCTAAAAAGTACCAATAAACTCAATGAAAAAAATATATCTTCATAGCTGTAATCTCAAGAGTTTAGAGGATCATGACACCTCTGACCTTTCTCTTTTTTGGGAATGTACAGAGGAGAGAGTTTGGGTCTGAGAATGTACACCATTAGACAAGGTAGGAAAGCTTACTTTTCAGGAGCAACCCCTTCTGAAACCCATTTGGAAATTTCACGTTTGCCAACCACCTGCTCCCGAGGGATGCTGAGGGATTTAATGATACTCCCAGGAACTTGTGGTGGTGCTTGTGGGAAGTGCTCTGAGCTCAGGATTGGAACCTGAATAAAATTAAACACTATTTTCAAAACACAGTAAGTTAGCTTTTATTATTTCAAATATTTAACATCATCGCTATTCTGAGCTCACTATCTGGTCCTCACATGTTTTACTTATGTATTGTTATTTCCAGTTGTTTGTCTGGGAATGGCCATTTCCAGGTTCCAGGGCAAGCAGTCGCTCTTTCTTCTGGTTTAGCAATTGGAGATATAAGGTTAGGAAGAGCGATCGCTTCTCAGTGAGACGTGTTAGGTGGATCAGGGTCTTTGTCTTTCATGAATTTTCTTAACAGCTGAACTCTGAGTTCGTACCTCTCTGGCCTTTTCAA